GGAAGTGTCTTTCTTTGGAACTTCCAGGTCGCCCATCCCGGAGAAGCTTCCAAAGCAGACGAGTCCACACCGTCGAAAAAGGAGTGAATGGGATCTTCCGCACCATGGCCCCCCTCGTTGGACTTCTCCTTTCTCACTTGGGCCTCCTCGAGAATAGAATCAGTGCAGGAGGGCGTCTCCAAAATCTCAATAACACCGGGCGCTTCCTTTGGAGCGGAACCAACATCTTGGGAAGTTTCACCCCAGGCATCCACGTCGGTCATTTGAGTTTGAGGGGGGTCGATCTCACAAGTCTCCCCCTCAGATGCATCCAAGTCCCCGGGATAGGTCGTCCCGTGGGTAACAAAAATAGATTCATCCTCCAGCTCGTCCCTAAGCCGGAGGAGGGAGTCGAAGTCCGGCACTCGGGAACTGGAGCCCCTCTTGGGCTTGCGGACCCGTTTCTTTGGTTTCTTCACCTCGGAGCCCGGGGAGCCCGAGGGTTTTCTCTTCCTCTTCTTTTTTTCCTCCGTGGCAGCAACGGAGGGATCAACGGATGGGGGAACATCTGAGTACAGATGCCCTCAATCCGTTCCTTTAACCGGGGAACCGTATTCGGAACCCAAGCGACGGATGTACAACCATAAGCATGAATGAGAAGATAGAAATTGAATAAAAAGAATTTTGATATTTAATGAGAAATTGCACTTACGAGACGCATTCCACTTCTCAGGAAATGACATGTATTCAAGGGGGATCAGATCCTCGATTTTCACTCGGACAAAGCGTCCTTGCCAGCCCTGGTCTCGGTCTTCATCGATACTCTAAAAGGTGGCCTTGCTGGCCCGACGAGTAAGCTTGATCAGTCCCCCTTGGAACATTTGGGGACTGTATAATCAGAGTAGGTGGTCGATCGTGAACCGATATGACTCTGTCTTATTCACGAAATAGCGGAGGAGGGTCACGATCCTCCACAATGATGGATGGATTTGTCCGAGGCACACATCGTACCACTTGCAAAAGTCTAGAATGATCGGGTCCACCGGGACCAGTGTGAAGGGATAAGTGTAAACACTTAAGTACCCCTCCACGTGGATAGTAACTACGACCTCGGGCCCGGGGACTACTACGTTATTGCCTTCCCAATTGCATTCCTTACAAATTATGGGAAGAATATCTTCAGTCACAGAACATATGTGTCTCGAGAATCCTTCACCCAGGTCCTATTTGCACGAAGGCTTCTTGACTTTAAAGTCATCTGCAATTGAGCAGCCCCCGAGAATGAACGTTGTCAAGGGAGTCTCAGCGGCCGGTTCGTTAGCAACCACAACGGGGGAAGCCGTTTCGAGGAAGACCACTTCTGGGGCAACTACTTCAGTACCAGCGGCCGGTTGAGAAGATGAAGAGGAAACTTGTTGAGGAACAATTTTCGATGTTTTGGCCATTGTCATCTAGGGGAGTGTTTGAAAATTTGAGGAAAGAATGCGAAGTTTTGGAAAAACGGGTTTTGAAGACGAATAACAGAGTATGAAGATTTAAAGAAAATTTGGGCAAAAGTCTGGAGATTACTATGGAAATTGAAGAACAAAGATGAAGATATTAAGGTTTGATGATGGCTGGAAAGCTCGAAGGTAGTAATTTAGTCGAAAAGTAGAAAAAGAACAAAGGGAGGAAGCTTTTATAGGGAAACGGTCGACGCTTCACATTCGGGGGCAACCTGCCGATGAGCGACACATGTCCGAAGTCAGAACGACGCAACTGACGGGACATTTTGGCTCCCTCATCGTAACGTACGGAGGAAGGAACCGGAGTCATCTGTCGTTTCTCATCGTTTCGGCAAACCTACTCTCTGAGAAATGAGGGGACTATCTGTATACGGGTAAAACCAAATCCACTGAGCATCCCGGGTTCCCGGTGAGGAAAACGGAGCAGGGACGTGACTGTAAGGAATCAGAGTCAGAGCGAGGAGCCTCTCGTATCGGGGCTCGAGCAAAACACCTGCCCTCGGGGGCATCTGGACCATGTCCCCCGGGACCGGTTCGAGCTCCAAGACTTCGGAGAGCATTACCAGACAACCGCACATGACTAACAAAGGCCCGTGATGTCCGTGCCCAATCGGATATCACGGTGTGAATCTCTTCCCGTATCAGTAAAAAATCAATGATTAGCGAAATGGAAGATTTTTACCTTTCTTAGGATTGTACTTAGGGTAAAACTCTCCTACTATATAAAGGGGAGGCTTATTATTCATCATACATATTGTAACACGCATACCTAGGCAATTTACTTCAGTTCTCTTTGTTGTTCAAAGTTCTTATTTTTGTTCATAAGTTCTTCAGAAGTGCAAGCTCGGAATCGAAGGTAGGTTCCTCATTGAACCATTAACCGAGTCCGGGATCACTCTTATCATTGGTTTGGCCATTTATTACGTCTTTTATTTGCTTAATCTAACGTCATTAATCACTTGTATTGAATTAATCCACATATTCTTAAAACCGCGTATAAATTCAATTGTTATTCATTTTTAAGGGGGTATATATATATATTGTTTGTAGTGATCGAGGGGTATATATCGTGGCATTTGCAGAATATGCCAGTCTTAGTCAGATGATTCCAACAGATAACTTTGACTTTGATATTGATACACATCGTAGAAGGTTTGGAGCGCTCTCTGGGATTATGCAAAAGGAAAGTAGGAGTTGAGTGCAATAAGCGTGGATGAGGTTACAAAAAAATATTCAGGAAAAAGAATGGTCCACCAAAGAAGCAAATAGTACGAGTTCGTATAAAAAGAAAGGGGTGCCTTTTGTAATTAGATAGTATGTAGGGAGGGTGTTTAATAGCTGAATTTCATATAGTGGTCGTATGTTTTTTCCTTAAAAGTAATCGAATAGATTACTAAATGATTATTTTCAGTTTTTGTTAATAATGAAATCTCAAAAAAAAAATCTAACTTTTTGTTAATAACAAAGGAGAGATGAACAAATCCCTCAGTAAGGAGGTGTGAGAAGTTATCGATAGGGGGGCTAGGGAGAGGTAGTGATAGGCCGAAGAAGTATTGGGGGTGAGGTAATTAGACAGGACATGGCTCACCTTCACCTTACCGAAAACTTGACCCTGGATAGGCGAGCATATACGTCGAGAATTAGGGTTGTAGGTTAGAAGGTAGTCGAGCGTTCTTCTTTTCACTCCTTTAGTAGAAGTAGTAGTCTTGTATTTGAAGGAGAGCTTTAGCGTAACTAGTAAAAGTTGTTGCCATATGACCAAGAGGTCACAGGTTCGAGCCGCATGGAAACAGCCTCTTACAGAAATGCAGGGTAAGGTTGCGTACAATAAACCCTTGGTCCGGCCTTTTCCCGTACCCCGCGCATAGTGGGAGCTTAGTGCATCAACGGGCCTTTAGTAGTCTTGTATTTCTTGTCTAAAATTTCTATTACTGCTTGTTGTTTCTTTTGGTTCAGTTTTCCTATTATCTTGTAGGTATTGTTTCTCTTTCCATGGCTTCTTCACTACTATATTTTCTTTTTAATATAGTCAGAATTTTTCTTTCCTTGAGCCGAGGTTTTGTTGGAAACAACCTCTCTACCTTTACAAGGTAGGGGTAAGGTCTGCGCATACTACCTTCCTCAGACCCCACTTGTGAAATACACTGAAATTATTATTGTCATTGTTGTTACCTTTACTTCGTATAATTTATGTATCACTATTGGTTGCCATTTTTATTTATTTATTTGCACTGTACGACAATTATCACTGAAGGAGAGCCTTGGAGTAACAGTCAAGTTGTCTCTATGTGACTTATAGGTCACGGGTTCGAGCTGTGGAATCAACCATTGATGCTTGCATCAAGGTAGGCTACCTACATCATAGGGGTGCAACACTTGCTGGACCTTGCATGAACGCAGAATACTTTGTGCATCGGGCTGCTCTTGCCACAACTATCAATATTATACGATGTGCTACAACATATATACAATCTACATACAATAACAATACATATTGCATACACAATTTATACACTTGACATAACTTAGTTATGTATGCAGTCTGTACCGTCCAGACAATTGAATCAGGTCCATTATACCTATATATACAATTAAATACATTGCAACACAATAGACATACATCTAGATACAAAAAATATGCACACATCATATCGTTCTATATAACTAGCATACAAAAGAAAATACAAATACCATACACATGTTATACACCTGACATAATTAAGTTTTGTATGCATTACATTTTTTTAATATTATATCATGTTTAATTGTACTTGTACATACACCCAAATAATGTGTGACACAACAACAATACACATATAATACAAATTATATACAACTGAGCTACAAATACTTAGTTATAAAAACATATAACAATCAGACAATTGAATCATCACAAGACATTATGGCGATACCATCCAATGTTTCATTCACTAAACTCATATGCAACATATTTATTTCAAACGCAACTTAGGAACATATTTGCGATGTATCAAAAAAATTACAGGAATAGCAGCATTAATTATTTTTATTTCCTCTTAAGAAGATTGCTACAAGTTTTCCTGTTGTGTCCCTCTCGCCCAAAATTGCTGCATGAACCCTACGACCTCTTAGCTTTCATTTCATACAATATTTTGTATCTAAATCTTTTTGGCCTTCCTGCAGCTCTTCTCCCCACCAACAGCAACACCACTTCTTCTGAGACATACAATGAAATATCCTATGTACTTTCATATGGAGAGGGTTCATGAGAATTTTTATGTCATGACAAAGTTTTATATGGTGTAGTAGACGGAATTGTAGTAATTTTCATCTAGGTGCTTGTACTCAAAACAGCCAAAGCATGTCCACATGGTAGTTCATCCAACTAAAACCGTAGACAACTGCATTTTGTCTCATGTAGGCATACCATGAAGCTTTTACTACCGTATGTAGGTATTCTGTTGTATCTCTCAAGTTCTAATTAGTTATATATAATTTTAAAAAACAAATACAGTTGCATATATCAAGTATAGGATATAGCAACATTAAAGATCAATCGGAGATACTAAAAATATTAGAGCAAGCATACTTGGACATTCAAAAAAAATATAAACTGAAAATATATAAAGATATACACTAAACATGCATCCAAACTGAACATCTAGTTCTTCCTTATTTCTGTTTATCAAACTACATATGGTAGAATACAATCTTACCATCATCGGCCGTGATAAAAGTATGTTATAATTCTGGCAATGCTGGCAGCTCTTTGGCATCCTTATTCGTTGCGTACACTAACTCTACGATAGTTGAAGTCATTGTCCAAGTTTTATTCACCGTTGAATGTGCCCGAGATCTACCTATAATTCCCAAGGTTGAACAAGTAATCTTTCATCCTAGCTTTTATCTATCTATTCAACGTTTACCATGTGTTGATTAAACTCTTCTAAAGTGTATGCTCTAGGCATGACAAAGTCCAAACCCCTTATCTTGTGATGACTCCGCAAGTATTTAGACCTAATGTTGTTCCATAGATGACACATACGTACACATCATACACCATTGACGTCAACGTACCTTCATAATACTTGCAGCCTATCCTATACAACACAACACACATATTTGCGCTTTCACCAAAAGCCTTTCTGAATCATTCGAAGAACCACCTCCATGAGACGTCATTCTCTTAATCAACAACGTATGCGAGCGGCAGTATGCTACCTGTGCAAATAAACAAGTCATATAAGTAAAATATTTACTACCATAAAACTAACATACAAAAAATCCAATTTACACACACAGAAATATACAGAGTCATATAATTAAGTACAAAGGTGTACATGTTGTGTTTAAATGTTGAGAAACATCACCTGCTGCATACATTGTACTAGTTGTACTACCATACAACTAACCAACAGATATACAAGTTGCATAGAAGTATAAATAACATATATAGTTATACAATAAAAATACACAGTTATATATGCCTTTTTTATAAACTCACCTGTTGTATTCATTGTGCTAGCTACAAGTTAGGTCCCCTTGTAGATGGCTTTAAGGAAGCTACCATCAACCTTATCAAAAAAAAAAAAAGGAAGCTACCATCAACTACCACAATAGGCCTACAAGACTCTCATCCCATTATTGATGCGTACAGAGCTAAAAATGCATACATAAATTATCTATCCTCTGATTTGTGCAAGCTCACAACTGAACGAATAAGTCTTTTCTAAAACAAGTAGCTAAGCAGCTTGCCGTAGGACTCACTTGAATCCGCTCGCAACAATTGAATTGCCTTCTCCGTTACTCTCTAAGCTCATATGTAGGTTAACGTTACACCATAATCCTTCTTCATATTTAATATTATGTTCTTTGGCACGTATATCATCTTTGGGTCTGAACATTTGTCCATGAAAACACTCCCAACTACATTGGTTGTTGCTTGACGTTGACGTTGTGTATAGATCGTATTCTTCAACGAGCATGTGTGGACACCATAGAATTTGAACATTCTCGATTCATTCAGGCTTGAAGACTAAAACTGCCACACGCAATTCTCGCTAATGCATACAAGGGAATAGCTACACAAAATAAATTTTATCTAGTGTTAAATTAAACACACATATTATATTATACCTTGTATATCCCATTTATAATCCAATATTAAAATCCTACAAAGACGAAAGGCAAAAGTGAGGCCAAAAGCATGCTGAATATAAAGCAATATCAGGAAAAGAGTTCCACATTTCATTTTTCAAGATCATTTCCAATGCATATGGAAACTTATAGACAGCCGTTATTAACAAGATATTTGTAAAGATGAATGAATTTCTTTCTTTTCGGCATGAGTTCTTTTTTATTTCTTTTCTTGGGGGGGGGGGGATTTGGTCGCGGTTCAAAATGTCCAACTTTAATGTTCAGTATTACCTCTCTTCCCCATTTTTGAAAGACTTTTGGTCATCTAAAACTCTTGCACACAAACCAATGGTACAATGTATTAGAAACTCGGCCTAGGCCCATCAAATGTTTACCTGCCTTGAGGTTATCAACTAAAGTTATGCCGCAAAATGAAAACACCCTTTGGTCCTCTCTGATAGGTGCTGTATCTATTGAAAATATATCAACAATTAACATTTGGAAATCATACTAACAATTAATGTGTATAAGACGTATATAGAGTTACAGAAATAGAAAGAGCTAATGTAACTGGAAATAATATGCACATAACCACTTGTGATGATCCAAAATGTCATCTTTAAATTTAAAAATTAATTATGTGTTCTAAGACCTCGAAAAGTACTATTTATCATCCCTCGACTTGCGTGCGCAATCCGTAAAATTTTCTGGAAAGTTTTTATGTGAAAAATGGATTGAAATGTGAATTAGAGTTTTAAAACTCAATTGAGTTGACTTTGGTCAACATTTTGAGCAAACGGACTCGGATCAGTGTTTTGACAGTTCCGGTAGGTCCGTATCGTGATTTGGGACTTGGGCGTATGCCCAGAATCAAATTCCAAGGTCCCTAGACCGAGATATGGAATTTTGATAAAAACAATTTAAGTTCAAATAGTGACCGGATGTCTAATTATGTGCAAACGACCCCGAAATAGAATTTTGATGATTCCAACAGCTCCGTATAGTGATTTTGGACTTAGGAGCGTGTTCAGAATTTTATTTGGAAGTCCGTAGTTAAATTAGGCTTGAAATGGCTAAAAACAAGAATTTAAGTTTGAAAATTTGACCGAGGAGTTGACTTTTTGATACCGGAGTCGGAATTCAGTTCCGGAAATTTTCATAGCTCCGTTATGTCATGTATGACTTGTGTGTAAAATTTGAGGTCAATCGGAGTTGATTTGATAGGTTTCGACATCGAATGTAGAAGTTGAAAATTTTAAGTTTCATTAAGCTTGAATGGGAGCATAATTTGTGGTTTTAGCGTCGTTTTATGTGATTTGAGGTTTCAAATAAGTTCGTATGATGTTTTAGGACTTGTTGGTATATTTGGTTGAGGTCCCGAGAGCCTCGGGTGAGTTTCGGTTGGTTAACGGATCAAAAGTTGGACTTAAAACAGTTGCTGCAATTTTTCCTTTCTGCTGGAAATTCTGGCCCAAAATCGAGCTCCCAAGATCGAGCTCCCAAAAATCGAGCTCCAAGATCGAGCTCCCAAAATCGAGACCCATGATCGAAGCCACGATCGAGGTCGAGGATCGAAGCCATGATGGAGGGCTGCCTGGGCAGAATTATAAAAGAGGGCATTCGTCCCATTCGCCATTTTTAACAGATTGGAGCTTGAGCAGAGGCGATTTTTGATAGATTTTCAAGGAAAAGACATTGGGGGTAAGTGATTCTAACTTGGATTTGGTCTATAAACATAAATATATCATTGTTCTCATCATTGAAATTTGGGAAAGTTTTAGAAATCTCATAGAAACGAATTTTTTTAGATTTCGGTATCGATTCGGAGTCGGATTTGAGTGAAACTGGTATGGTAGGACTCGTAATTTAATGGGTTGTCGGATTTCGTAACTTTCGCCGGATTCCGAGACGTGGGCCCCACTGACGAATTTTTAATTAATTTCGGAATATTTATTTAAAATGTAGTATTTTCTTATAGAATTGATTCCTATAATTTGAAGTGATTGTATCGAATTATTTTGGCTAGATTCGAGCCAGACAGAGTTGGATAATCGTGAAAAAGGTCTTCTAGTGGATTAAATTGGAGCAAGACGAGGTAAGTCTCTTGTCTAATCTTGTGAGGGGGAAATTACCTCATAGGTAATTAAAATTAAATAATTGTTGTTAATTGTGGGGACTACCTACGCACGAGGTGACGAGAGTCCGTGCGTAGCTACTATTAATGCTAAAGTCCGGGTAGTTTAGGACTCAAAGCATGAATTACTTGTGTAAATTGTATTCTTTGTTTAATTAATATTATTTGATATATATACATATATATTGTGAATTGTTAGATAAAAATATTAAAGGATGGAAATCTCATATACTTGATTTTTTTTCTGTTTAAATTAATTAATTGTTAAGAGAAATTGTTCTTCCTCCTGAATTTATCTTATCACAAATATACTCTCATTCCGGAGGTACATAAGAAAATGTCCTCCTTTTTTGTGGAGCGGGCCGAACGCCTCGGCAGGATAGATGCATCTATGGATCGTGCCGCACGTCCCTCGGCAGTGTACACGACACTCTGGATCGGGCCGTACGACCTCGGAAGAAATCGTGCTTAATAATAATAATAATTACACGATACTTTGACAGTTTATTGCAGCTTGTAAAGTTATTTGATAAATTGAAAATTCATTGGAATTGAATTGCAGCTTGTAAAGCTATTTGATAAATTGGAGGAATTTAATTATTTCTGCTGATTTAAATAAATTATTGTTATATTCTGTGAATCATGCTGATTTAAATATTCTAGTTTTATTTTAATTATTATTATTGACCCATAGTGAGTGTCAAAGTCGGTCATCTCGTCTCTACCACTTCGAGATTAGGCTTGATACTTACTGGGTACACGTTGTTTACGTACTCATACTACACTTGCTGCACTTTTTGTGCAGGATCTGAGACAGGTACTAGTGGAGGACCTATCATCACATATCCACGTCATCCCGAGGCATATTGTTGAGCTGCCTTTCTGAGCCGTTCTGCAGCTACTAGTGTCTCTTCTTATATTTGCATTCTGTCTATTTCATTTCAGACAGTATTTGGAGTTTTGTATAATCTACTAGATGCTCATGCACTTGTGACACTAGGTCTTGGCACACACATTGGTAGAATTTGGTATTTTATTATTTTCTTGGATTAAAAGTTTAATCAATATACGTTGGATTTATCAGTTGGCTTGCCTAGCTGTAGTGTTGGGCGCCATCACAACCTATAGGTGAAATTGGGTTGTGACACCACTAGTATCAATTCTTGTAATATAAGATGTAACTTTTGTACATAAACACCATTTTCAGAGATTTAACAACTCTCAAACAGGTAAGAATCAATAAAAGTAGTTTTTTCTGTTTCTTCCTGCTTTCTTGGATATTCAAGAGTATTGAACATGTGATAACAAAGAAACTTATGAAAAATAGTATTGTTAGAAAGAGGGGAGAAATTGTCACAATATGGAAAGCCAATTGTCTTCTCAATCCCATCAAAAGCTCTCCTATTTCTTCCCTTCTACAGGACCCAAACAAGTACTAGTGAGGCAACATCCTAGGCTCTTCAACTTCTCTTCCTTCTTCTGAATTTCCAGATAGAGAGTGCGTCCTTTACCGGGTCTAACATCGCCCATTGCATCCCATACTATCTTTCTAGTCCTCGAAGCTTCCTAGATCCATAGAGAAGATGTGTATGTTTCCACAAACGAGGCCAATCAGAGACCAAAAAAAATAAGAGGCCTAGTCAGAGAAAGAAAGAAAAAGGAAAAGGGATCAAGTTATAGCTTCATCAGCAATAATCAACAATTTGGGAGAGATAGACCCCCTTGACAATGGACCCTGATCTCAATTCACTCTCTTGGGTTTGACAATGGCAAAATGATATGACTAGAAGAAGGCATAAATTAGAGAGTCCAATGTTATAGCCTCAGGTTACTTTTCCATATACAACTAAGCGAGTAATTCATTTGACCATTCAACTTTCATACCACATTACATAGTGCAACAACAAACAAAAAAGATAACTAGATTTAAGAATGACTCACCAGAAACGGATCATCCAATGTAAAATGTATACCTCATTACGGCACTGGGGTGTTGATTTTGTGGACTCTCACAGCTTTCTGTAATCCATCAATTACGTACTTGCATGTCAGCTGATTTGGCGCAAAACCCACTTTCCTCATTTTATCTTGAAATTTCAACAATTTGGCAATATCACATTCAGCGCTTAGAAACCTGACAATTGCGTTGTAACAAATTGTGTCAAATATTCCAAATTCTTGAGCAAAGAAGCTTAACAGCGATTGCGCCTCACAGAAATTGTTTTCTCTGCAATGCCCATTTACTAAAGCTCTACAAACTTCAATATCAGGCAGCACATCAAAATCAGTCATTTCTCTCATCAAGGAATTAGCCTCCATGCTTCGGCTTAATTTACACAAACTCTTAATTATAGCTCTATATGTACATATATCGGGCTTCAAATCTTTTGACACCATCTCAGCTTTCAAATACAAGGCCTCATCAGGGCAATTCCATCTGCAGAAAGATTCAATCAACTCCCTATAGACCATATTGTCAGGCTCATATCCATTGCCAGATACTCGATCCAATAGAGCCTTGGCCGCAAATGGTCGATTCTCCATACAAAGAGAAGCAATTAGATAGTTGTATATATCATGAGATACCACAAATCTAAACCTTTGAAGCTCTGTGACGAAATTCACAGCGGAAACTAGATTATCCTGCTTTTGATATCCTTGTACAAGAACCGAACAAGTGAACTTATCAGGGTACATCCCTTCTCCAATCATGTCATGCAAAAGAAACCGTGCTTCTTGCATCATCCCCTCTTTGCAATAACCACAAATAAGAGTGTTATACAAAATAAGATCTGGTTTTAACCCTCTGTCAGCCATTCTCAGGAACAACTGATGAGCATCTCTCACATTTCCTTTCCTACAAAAGCCATTTATCAAACTAGTGTATGTGAACAAATCTGGTAATACGCCTCTAATGTACATAATTTGATACAAGTAGACTGCATCTTTCAATCTTTCTTTCCTACAATAGCTACTAACTAATGTATTATATGTAACTATATCAGGTTGAAACCCTTCTTCTTCCATTTTCTCCAAGAAGTCATTGACCTTGTTCGCATCTTCATCCTTGCACAAGACAAGAGTTAATATATTGAAGGTACACGCATTTGGGTGCACTCCTATTCTTTCCATTTCAGCATAGACTTCCCAACATTTTTTGCTATAATTCAACTTTGAAAGACCATTTAAAAGACAGTTTATGGTAATAACACTCGGGCACATACCATGCTTCACCGTCTTTCTAAAAGCTCTAAAACCATCTTTCACCATATTCACCTTGAGAAAAGCCTTAATTAGCATATCAAACACAACAGGGTCCCAATTGCATACACCACTAGCTGAAAGCAAACTCTCAAACAAATCTACGCTGACCAGTCCATCTCTCTTCAAATCAACCAATTCAGACAAAATCTTCATTGCTTGTGAAAAGTTTTTTGACCAAGTCAATATATGAATAACAAGACAGTAGTTTTGAGTGTTAGGTTTGACGCCCAAATCAGTCTTGACCCAGTTGAAGAAGCTAAGAGCAGTAGATGAATCAGACTGGCATCTCAACAGGACCCTTGAGACTTCAGTGTTACTAAGATAACTAATAAGCCCGTGATTTTCGATGGTTTTCTGAAGAAGGACCAAATGGCCATTGTTTTTGCTCTTTAGTGCTGAGCATATCAGACTAACAATGTTTTGGGGGTTTTGGGTTTCAGGTAGAAAGTTGTGAAGGGGGTTTGAAATGGGTCTGGACCCATGACTTTGGAGAAAATTTGATGATGACAATGATGTAAAATTCAATCTTGACTGCAAATTCTTGAAATCAATTAATAAATTTCCACTCGAACATCTGTATTTGATTGATTTCTGAGTTAGATTCATGGAAATATGCAAGAAAAAATGGAGCTATCCTTCAGCAAGAAAAGCTCAATTCAGACAGAGAAAATTACCGAAGGTAAATAGGAGATTGAAATCTGAAGTTTCTGGTTCTACCATTTCCTCAAAATTCAAATTTACGCAGAACGGAGGAGTGAAAAAGGACCGCGACTCTGTTGCGCTCGGTTTGAACAGTGGAGCCAAAATTCTATTTTATAGGCGTTTGGAATTTTCAACTTCAGCTAAATATTGTCCTTGAATTCTCGAGCGGCTCGTAGTGGCATTGGGGTTAACAGTTAACTAGTACTGATATGCAAGCCATATTTGCACTCTTTTGCAACAGCATGAAGGAAAATAAACTTCACATAAAAAAGAGCAAGTGCTTGTTGCTAAGGAGACGACATTAGGGCATGCCATAAGCCAAGTAAAATGTAGGGAAGCCTCTTTGATTGGTATGCACGTAAGTTAAACCTCTTACATAAAATTCAATTCATAGGTTTAAGAGTGTCAATGGTTGAATTCAATAAATTACTTTAAAAACCTTATATTATATTAAAATTTCAGTTACTCTATAGTGTATAATTCAAATTAGATTTTTTTAAATCATCTCAATTATCTCGATTTTTCTTCACTACCAATACGACTTGACTAATTTTAACTTTTGTTTATTAAAATAACAACGAATTTTAATATGACACATAATATATAAGTTAAGAAAGTAATGAATCACATAGTGTATGATATGTCTAATAGTATCACTTGTTTAATCCTCAAAATTATAAAACTTTTCTTGCTAGTCTAATTCTACTCTTAAAACTCATCGAAATGTTTTACTTCCCAAACCATTGCCACTAATTGGCTTTGTAAACTACAACGTGTTGTTTAGAGCATAGCTTTATAAGCATGTGTATATCTTGATTGTTTCTTGCAAACATGCAAAAAATAGAATAAAATTGCTCACAAAATCAAGAAGAGTATTATATGTTTGGTGCATATAATTTTTACTACAAGAGCTTATATAAATGCAATGCTTAAACTAGATCTTGATTCATAGGACAGATAGAAGTTGCAACAACACAAGTTGTGTATGCCCAACATGCTCTTTACCTTAAACACATATTATCTATCTTAAATAATTAATGAGTTGCTAACAAAAAATATACAATTCAAATTTGAAAAAATAACATGAGTATCAATATGAAAATTATGGAAATAATATAGACTTGATATTTGACTCAAATATTACAAAGATATAAAGGAGAAGAAAAAAAAGAGAGAGGAGAAAACATACTTTGATGACTTTCTACAAAAGATTGCCAGAACTATTATAATTTCAACACTAGTAGAGTATGTCTAAGTATTACTTGTAGCCATTTCCATTTGAATCCACCCCAAGGCACAAGGTAAATATTTTTTAATACTTTGTCATTTTTAGAAAAAATATTCTAAACGACCAAAAATAACTCCTGAGGATCGTGATGGCACCTAATCTCTAAGATTAGGTAAGCCTAACACATGATGAGATTAACCGATTTAAAATAACTTAAATTATTAAATAGAAACTGATAAAGACATAACATTGGCGAAAACTAATCAACAGTCATACATCCCGAAACCGGTAGTACAGAGTCATAAGCTCTACTGGGAGTACACTAGAATCTCAAATACATCACTGTTTTGGAATACAAATAACAATAACAAGGAACAACAATAGAGGGTGACTTCGAGACTCGCGAGCAGAATAACAGGTATACCTTGAAGTCTCCGCAACTCTAGTTCAATTCTCAACTGTGCGGCACGATCCGAGGTACCTGGACCTGCACAAAATTATGTAGAATCGTAGTATGAGTACACCACAAATGATATCCAGTAAGTATCAAGACTAACCTTAGTGGAGTAGTGACGAGAAGCCAAGACACTAACTAGACATATAACCTGTGCAGAATATTAATATAGAACTAACAACGAAAAGCATAATCAATAAATGGCAACAAAAGTAAATGTGATAACATGGCAAATTAACCAAAATAAGTAAAACATAAAGTGAAATCAGTTAAGAAAATAATGATATGTTCAAATCGTCAAGTCGTTCCAACACAAGAATAACAACGACAATCACCCTGAGGTATCACACCTCATAACCACAAATCACAATCCACCCTTATGACGCCACATGAGCTTTATATTTTTCTCGAAATAGTTTCACGCACTTTAGCCCCCCTATCTCGCCGCGTGTGCATCACAATGAAGTATTTTTTTCTTATTTGCACCACGCGCATAATCCACCTTATCTCGCCACATGCGCATCAATATACACACCACCCTCATGTCGCCGCATGTGCATCTCAATCACAACAAAACAAACAAGCGCACACCACGTGCCCAAATGCCACAATATTGCTCAAACAATAATACCAATGCCACAATAATACATAGCCCACGACTCAACAATAATGTTTACAAGAATTATAACAACAACACAAGAGTACGGGAAGTAAATCAATAATGAAATATGCTTCATATAACAACAAATTCAATTCAAGGCATATTAATAATGTAAGAGTCTAATCCGGTCAATTACCACACATAAGCCCGTGTACATGCTCGTCACCTCGTGTACACATCTTTTCCCATAGTACAAGTAGTGTAAATACCAAATCCTAAGAGACAATTCTCCCACACAAAGTTAGGCAAGATACTTACCTCAATTAGGCCAATTCAATACTCTAAAAATAGTTTTCCCTTACAATTCACCTCCTCTTGGCCCAAATCTAGCCAAAAATAACTTAATAATATCAAACAATGCAAGAGAAACCAATTTAAATTAATAAAGCTAAGATCTAATACACAATTCCCTAAGAGTCAACCCCGGGCACGCCCGATCAAAACCCAATTTAAAAGGTATATCTCGACTATCTATAACCCCACGAGTTCATATATGTGTTTGGTTTTAAAATCCGAGTCCAATTCGACTCTCAAATCTCAATTTTTTATTTTTCAAAGCATTGTCAAAATTTTCAAAAACTTTTCTCTTCACTTCACATGATTTTGATGTCAAATCTCATAAATAATCATGTTATATAATAAAAAAGGATCAAAATCGCTTACCCAATAGATTTGTTTGAAAATCTCCTCCTAAAATCGCCTTCCATCGAGTCTAGGGTAAGAAAATATGATAAAATGAGACTAAGTCACGAAATCCCAACCTTTTGTTCAACTGCGGATGTCGCAAATGTGACCTGGGATTCGCAATTGCGACCACTCGTGAAGCACCCGAAGGCGAGACACTCGGTCTGATGAAACCCTTATCAAGCAACTCCTGAAGTTGTTTCTTTAATTCCTTCAAATCCACTAGTACAATGCGATATGGTAAAATAGAGATGGTTTGAGTGCCTGGCACCAAATCAATATCAAAATCAATATCCCTATCGGGTGACATGCCCGATAAGTCAGTTGGGAACACATATGGAATCTCTCTCACTACCGGAACTGACTCAATGGTAGTAGTATCAACACTCACATCCCTCACAAAGGCTAAGTATGCCAAGCACCCCTTCTCAACCATCCGCCGTGTCTTCAGAAAGGACACCACACTACTAGGAACATGTCACCACATGGAATTCCCACCATCAAGATGGTGATGACGCATAACATTTCACTTGCTAGGAAAGCCAATGTTACTATACTTATTAACCATTTTTAACAATTCAAATTAAATGATAACAATAAACTGATTAGTCTGAAATAAGTGATACAATCCATATAAACTGGAGTCACGAATACATGAGCATCTAGAGTGCTACAGATAATAGTCTGAATAAAAAACAATTATTTGAATCAAGATAAACAACAACGATAACATAGAAGGGGACTTCAGGGCTGCGGACGCCATGCAACTATACCTCAAGTCTTCATAGGTTACTGGATCCGGGCAATCTCACTCAGTGCTGCTGGGACCCACTCTGATATCTGCACAAGAAGTGTAAAGTGTAGTATGAGTATAACCGACCCCATGTACTGTATACGTGTCGAGCCTAACCTCGGCGAACTAGTGACGAGGCTAAAGTAGCCCACTTACAATAACTTGTACGCAATAATAATAATAACAAGAAAACATGAAATGGAAGTAAAGCAGTTAACTCTTGAAAACGAACTCGAAAATCCAACAAACAGAGAGCCCAGAATAACAAGTCTCATAGTCTCATATCACAATACCGAGGCAATTCCAACAAATCATAAACAAGTACCACATACACAATCCGTTACGGTGCGCAACCCGATCCTACCATATCATCATCTGTCAATATCATAATCCGTCCTTATTCCGCCATTTCAATTCATTACCTTTTAATTTCCGTTGCGGCGTGCAACCTGCTCCCCAAACAATTTCAATCAACATAAACAATTCAACAACCAAATTTACTAGAAATTCTACACCAAGAGGGTAAATGTACAAGGCAATAAAGAACCACATAATTGATCAAGAATCTCAACAACTCGAAGTCTCAACTTTATCAATTCATCGGCATCTATCAACTAAACAACTCATATAAGGGAAACCACATTTATAGAATGCAACAAATATTAAAAAACAATAAGGCAAGTAAAGCATGTGACAATTTAGGTATGCAAATATAGCAAGTAGAGGCAAGTAGACAATAAGCATGGAATCATGGAAGGGGCGGACAATTTAATACAAGAATAATTAAATGATAAGTAACAATTGTAGCATAGAAGTCAAATAAAGCATGTAGTAATTAAGGCATGAAACAAGATATATCATGAAATATACGAAAAATATGGAAACCAATATCATGACGACATATATACACTCGTCACCTCGCATATACACCATTTTCTCACATAACTCACATAACACATAGTTCAGGGATTCCTAATTCCCCCAAGCCAAGGTTAGTCCCAATACTTACCTCACTCCCCAATTTNGGTTAGTCCCAACACTTACCTTGCTCCCCAATCCAAGCAATCAATCAACCACAGACTTGCCTTTCAAACAAGTCTCCGAACCAACCAAATCTAGAAAATTAGCGATCAAATGATTCAAAATAAGCTTTAGAAACTACCCATTAATGAAAGAGATTCATTTTTGATCATTTTTGAAAAAGTCAACAAAAGTCAATCCCAGGCCCGCTTTGTCAAAACCCGAGGTTCGGACAAAAATCCGATTACCCATTCACCCCCGAACCCGGTTATGTAATTTGTTTCAAAATTCGACCTCAATTTGAGGTCTCAATCTCAATTTTATAAAAATCCCCAATTCTACCCAAATCCCTAATTTCTACCATGAAAGTCCTAAATTTGGTATTGAAATCTCATGAAACGTAATGGTTAATTGAAAAGAAATGGATTAAAGTCACTTATCAATAAATTTGGGAAGAAAAGTCTCTTGAAAAATCGTCTCTAGAGTGTTTAGGGTTGAG